AATCCAATGTACTTACTTTCAGAAATACATACCAAATAAAAAGATCCAGTTGATAAAAACAAATAAATAACTGGAAAAGCAAGCTAGTATAGAGATTAATGTACCAAATTAAAGTCTGATCATATAAATACTACCTTTAAGTATTTAAAGTTACTGTTGAAACCATAAACAATAAATGAAAAGAGGCATACAGAAATGTTAAAAAACTGGGGTACTATAAGTATGTGTCATTAAAAATTTTTTTTAGTCTTTTAATACAAACTTGTGTTGACATCCACCAAACAATCCAAAACTATACCTAAAACTTTTGGGGAGAGGCTGGTTCAAAATCCAATTTCAAATTTCTGTAGTTCTGTGTTTTTTGTTTTGAATGGTTTTACTATGTAGAAAATTTATTTTTTAAATAATGTTTATTATATAGCATAAAATTAACCCATTGAAAATACACAATTTGATGATTTTGGGAAAGTTGTAGAGCTGTGCGACCATCACCACTATACAGTCACAGAACATTTCCATCAACCCAAAGAAGTTCTCTAGTTTCCATTTGTAGCTAATCTCTGTTCCTACCTCTAGCCCTTAGGAAACCACTGATCTGCTTTCTTTCTTTATAAATTTGCCTTTTCCATGTATTTCATATACATGGAATCACAGACTATATAGTCTTTTATACCTGACTTCTTTTATGTAGCATAGTTTTTGAATTTCATCCATGATATATGTAGCAGGCTTCATTAAATCAGTCCTTTTAATTGCTAAATAGTATTCCATTGTGTGTGTGTGTGTGTGTGTGTGTGTGTGTGTGTGTGTGTTAGGGAACACATACACAGTATATACCACATTTTGTTTACCCATTCACCAAATGACAGTACTTTGATATGCCTCCAGTTGGGGATTATTACAAATAATGCTGTTATGAATATTCACATACATGTCTTTATGGGGACCTATATCTTCATTTCTCTTTTATAGATTCCTAGGAAAGGAACTGCTGGGCCACATAGTATATTTAAAACATCTCTATTTTTATCCAACTTTTAAAAAATCTAGCATTTAAAATTGTGGATATTAGTTTTTCAAACCATGAATACACTGGATCCCTACTTCTCTTAGTTCCTTAATATGTAATTTAGTAAGTTCAATTAATATAATTCTCAGTTCATAGTTCCTTCCCACTGTATCAGGCCTTGACACAGTGTACTAACTGAAAAAAAGTACATGAGATAAATTAGTAGCAGCTGCAATCATAAAATTCAATGTATTGCTACTGCTAGAGAAACCCATTGGCCATGGAACCAGGCCTGCAGGAATGAATGGACTCATTCTGACAAAAAGAAAATGTTTTCCCACATGTTCACAGAATACCTAAAGGAAATTTTTTTAAAAGAATTTATGAGGCATTCTGAATAAAGGGTTAATATAATGCTTTTCTGTAAAAGAAAAAAATTTTTTTAAAGAATCAAATACAGTAACTTTGATTTTAACTGTATTTTCCAAGTAACATAATGAGAGAATATTTCTGAATAATACTTTAATATTATTTTAAAACTTATAAAACTTATTCTCCCCTCACTATTACCCCTATTGTTTATATAAATAATCTGAGTCAAGAACAAAAAACATTCAAGGTACAGAGATGATCTTGCTTTAGTTTTCTTTGTTTTTTGCTTTTCTTTTTTTAATTTATTCACTGATGATGATCAGTAAAAAATCAAACCAGAGAAATATCACTCAAGAAAAATACCATTAGAAGGAAATGTTAAATGAAGAAAATATATGGTGACTTGTTGAAAGAACCGCTCTGCCTGGTTTCAGGAGTTGTAACTGCCCCCCATGGATAAGATAAGTCTGAGTAAGGGACCTCCAGAATGGGAGTCACAAGGAGACAAAGCTTGTCTCTGCTTCCTCACCTGCCCCCAACTCTTGGTCGGCTTAGTCAGAGATGGGTAAGACCCCTGGGGGGGGGGCAACCTAAGCCAGACATGATCACTTGGGAGGCCATCATGGAAGGACTCAGGGGGCTGCAGCAAAGAGGGAGTGATGGACCCTTACCCTCCAGCTATTCTGACATAGCCTGAGTCCCAATGTCCTCTGGGAGAAGTGCTTCCTGGCTCTAATCCACTTACACCTGAAAACTTATGATGGGAAAGGTGGTGCAACCCCTTGCCAGCTACAGCGGGATCCAGGGTGATCAGGGATAAGAGTTCCTAAAAGTCCTGTCAAGCCTGCTTTGCTAAGAGTGCTTTCATTCATATGATAAGGGTCCGAGCAGGAAATGAGTATGTCTCCCTAAATTTCTGCAATCCCCTTACCTGACAGATACTGACTCAGACTAAGCCATCAGATTTCTTTGAAATGTTATCTACTGTTTGATCCTTGCCACCTGTATTCCTGTGTATTACAACCCAATAAAAGCCATTGAGGAAGGGGCTCTTGGCCTTTCTCCTCTGAGAGATTGGCCACCTCTCCTCCCCAAGCAGATCAAGTCTTAGTAGTATTACTTTTATCCATGGCGGATGGGGGAACTTGCTGGCAAAGTCGCCCCCACCATGACTTGAAAATTTTGAAGACAAATATCCTCAGTGAACACTAAATCCTATGAGTTAGTTATAGACAAAATTGAGCTATCAGTGAGATGTGAATTAAAGCAGTATGTATCTGCTTTTTCATGGGAATTTATATTTTGTGGATTTCTTTTTTTATTAAATTTATTGGGGTAAAATTAATTAATAAAATTATATAGGTTTCATGTACACAATTTTATAATACACCAAATATATATATATATATATATATTAAAGATTTTATTTATTTATCTTTAAAGGGGAAGGGAAGAAGAGAGGGAGAGAAATACCAGTGCATGGTTGCCTCTCCTGCATCCCCTGCTGGGAACTGGCCTGCAACCCACAATCCTTTGGTTCACAGGCCCACACTCAATCCACTGAGCTACACCAGCCAGGGCTACATCAACTATATATTATATTGCACATTTACCACCCCAAGTCAGTCTCCTTCCATCACCATTTATTCCCCCTATTTGTAGATTGCTTTACGAAGTTCCAAAATAAGTTATTTGTAAATAGTACACTATTAGTGGTATCTGATAATCCTGCTTAGCTTTTGAGATGAACCAAATCATAGTATTTTTAGTAGTATGGGCATAGAAGCAAGCAGGATTAAATTGCCAACTACTTGCTTTTTTCAATATTTACTTATAAGAACCTGACACTGCAGGTTCTCATCATGCCAACACTAACAGCAAAAAGTGCAACTTTTGGCAACTTAGATAAGAAAGAAAAATAAGAAAAAATCACTTCAACACATAAGCACCCTGCTTATTTAAATTTAATTTTTAACTCAAAATGAACAGTCTCTGTCTCACTGTATTTTAGGATATAATTCTAATTAGAAAAATTACATATTAAATGCAATAAAGGAAGCAAACAGGTAACAAAAATAGTTTTTATAACTACAATAATTTCAAGAGAACATTTGGGAAAAAATAATAAAATAACTTAGTCCCGACTGAAAAAAATGGAAAACCCCAGAAGCTGTAGGTATTAAAGTACTTTTGTTGTTTTTAATTGGCAATTTAAAATAGACTTACATTATAGCTGCATTTACATGGAGATGAAGGACAAGTTTAAATTAAAATCCAGAGTTATAAAAGAATCTTAAAATGCCCCATTTAACTGTATTCAACTAGTTTCTGATCTCACAATGCAAGAAACAAAAGTACAGCAGGGAAAAGGAAGTTGTCATGCTCTCCTCTACACTGAGATAGTAAAATTTCAAAAGAAATAATGTTACCTAAAAGTAAATCAATACTTGTGCTAAGTGGCCATTTTAGGTCAAAAATTGTATTTCTGAATTCTCATTTTCTTGGCACACAATTACTGTTTACAATTAAGCTAAAAACTTGTTCTGGTATTTTATGACATCAGGAAAATTCTTTCCTCTCCAGGCAGAATGCCAAAACAACTAGAGCTGAATGCCCAGGCCCTCTGTTTCTCAGAGAGACGGCTCTCTTGTTCAGGCTAAACTAGCTTTGCTATGGGAAAGGCAAAAAAATTTTATTTTTGTGAATAAAATATAAACTACTCAGAATTTGAACCGGCAATCTTAAGATTTTAAATGATTGAAGTATCTTCACTGGTTCTGGCAGAAATTCATTAAAAAATAAAACAGGTTGCATAAGACTTTTGACACAATTCATTAATGTGTAAGAGAATTTAAGGCTTCTTTTCAAATATACAATGTTAACATTATAAATCTAATGATAGTATGTGGATATTGCAAAATGCCAAAATCTAAAAAAGACAAACAAGTATATTTTATTCACAGCCATGTAATATTCATATGATCAGAGGTAAAATTTCGTTTTCATCCCTTATTTATCTTTCTACTTTTCATATGTCTAAGAATTCAATTTAATGATAACCAGAAGTCTGAAAGAGGAAGGAAAAGAAAGACACAGAGCTGGAGAGAAAGAAAAATATACACAGAATTCTTACCTTCCTCCCCAAACTGATCATATATTTCTCTCTTTTTAGGATCACTCAATACTTCATAAGCTTCTGCGACCTCTTTAAATTTTTCCTCTGCCTGGGGAGATTTGTTCTTGTCCGGATGAAATTTGAGGGCTTGTTTTCGGTAAGCTTTTTTAATATCTTCATCTGAAGCTCCTTTTTCAATTCCCAAAATGGAATAATAGTCTTTCCCCATTTCGAATGCCTTGAAATGAACTTAGATTTCCCTTTGTGAAAGAAAACGGCGTCCCCAGTCTTAGCAATACGATTCTAAGGAAAATAAGCCAAGCTGGGTATTTTCAAAGTTAAAGCAAATCAGCAATTCAGCTTCGCTGTTTTAAGGCAGCAAGCAGACAGCCTCTCCGTATTTAATTCCTTCCCCAACAGCTCACTTACAGATAAATATACACTACACAGGAGACAGCCTCCTTCTAGATCCTCCCATTTTCACTACGTGTCTCTGTACTTTCTAGAACAGCAAATGCTACAGGACGTCATTTCCCCAGCTGCCGCTAGTCGAAGTACTGAGGTAGGTTTTCTCCTCCTCCACGATTAACTATTCATTTTCCTTCTGGCTCTACCATTTTAATTTCCTTTTTAAGAGGCCAAGTAGATTAAGAGAACAATATTTCAGCATTGAATGTCATAAGTACACAACTTTTTTATTCCATTCTAGGTGAAAAGCTCCAAAAATAATTATAGCTCTTAAGCATCCTATGTTAAGTTAAAGTTATACAAATAAAAGTACCCATGAACTTATTTAGGTATTTTCATTTCAATTTCAAGTTATTCAAATGTAAGATATAGAATACTAAAATATGGTTTGTTTAAATTAAAATTTTCAAAAAATTTGTGATATTTTCAAAAATTGTGGGTTTATCAATCAAAAATCCCTGGAAGTCAGTATACCAATTTCACATTGTAAAAATGCTTTATCATAAACTTCAAAAGCAATACTTTAAAAGAGGTTAAAGGACTTTAATATAATTTTTAAATAAGATTTTAGCTACTAACTTTTAAATATTTTGTAGTATACAGAAGTTAATAGTTCCAGCAAAGTAATATTTATGAAATTTTCAAATCTGACTTTAGTTACTTCAGCTAAAACAGAATGAGACAGAACTTCTGTGCAGTAGATACGATAGGAGAAAAGTATCAGGTTACAGACAGTAAAAACTCACGTTTCTTACAAGACCTTGACTGGATCAGCTTAAAATCTGGAATGTTACTTACAGGGTAGTCATATGAGAAAAAATTTTTCTTTTTACAAACACATTACCCCTAATTATAAGTATCAATTATTGTTAAAGATTTTGGAAAACAGAAAAAAAAAAGATTAGAATTAAAATCTCCCTATCATACCACTTTAGATAATCCTTGCTAAATGTCAGTGTATTTCCTTCTAATCCTTTTTTTCCTATGAATATTTATGGTTATTGGTTGTAGTTTTGTACTTTTTACCAACAAATTTTATAGCATATCATTTATATACCATTTTGATGCCTGCTTTTTTATACATATATTTTGGATATTTAAGAGAAATATTTTCAATGTATGTAACTAATCTTTTCTCTATGGTTTCTTCATTTTTTCAAAAGTGTTCCCATTTCTTATATAATATTGGAAAATGCATTAATAAGAAAATGTCAAAGAATTGCATAGAAAAAAATTGCATAGAACCTTATACTTAAGTATCTTTAGTCTGGGAACTTAAAATAAAAAAGCACATTTATGAGGAAAGTAAATATACGGATATGTTTAGAGTATAATGAAAAGGTGATGATCACATATTAACCTCTAACTATATAGGAACACCTATTCTATATGCCAAACAGCTTTACAATTATGATTCAGCAATTCTTTCATTTGTTCATCTTTGTGCATTTTAATAGCTAGGATCTCCTATTTCTCAAAACTCTCTATTTTAAAAACACCTTGGTATTAAAAATTTATTAACATATATCTAGACTACTTACAGCCTATTCAGCAAATTTTTAGTCCCACCAAGGAATCCTCAACATCAAAAGATAAATTGTTCACATCAAAAACACACACACACAAAGAAAGAACACTAATATACAAAGTAATTTTAACTTTAAAAAAAAGCATATTCCATACTGGAGTCCCAGAGCAGGGAGCAACAACTCGAGTTTGATATAATATAATAAAAACCACCTATTCTAGGGTTAATTTCCAAGGGAGTTCCTTTACATATTCATTACCAAAGGAACATTGACATTACTATCTATGAAAAGCATAAATTATTCCGGTGAGTAATTCTGAGACAAAAACAAGTAGATTTTTTATCTGGTAAAATAATTTTCAGACAGCTAGAAATATTATAAGGACTTGCCATATTAAATGATTTTAGAAACCAAAGACTAGGTTGTTCATATTTCTGAGAAATGCATTATTTATTAACAAATGAAAGAAATCTGGTTCTCCATAAGTAGAGAAGGATGATAAAAGGGTTTTCAGAGTTCTTCAAATATCTTACACACATAAAAGAATAACAGTGGTAAAAGTGAGAAGCCAGAATGCACCTCAACTTGGAAATTTCAATTAATAAGGAAGCAATTATAATTTTAAGACTTTAAATAAGACAACTGACTAGCTTTTGATAAATTGAACAGATACTTGTACACCAACAGCTCTGTAAGTAATTCTTTCAAACATTTGTGAAGTTATTAAAAATTGTTTTAGAAGCCCAGTAAATAACATACTTAGAAATTTGTCCTTAGAAAATTATTCAAAGAATTATTAAATATACAAATATATTTAATATATGCTTCAGTCAGGATTAAGTAAAAATTCTAATGATACTATATTTTCTTTTCTATAACTTTAAAAAGCTTCCATATTTGGAGTATTATGCTTTAATAATAAATATAAACTAATTATTTTAATGAAAGTTGAGATTTTTTTGTTTTATAATCGTAGCTCAAATACTAAATATAAAAATAAAAAAGCAAATATTAAATATATCTAGATAATAAGAATGAAAGATAAAGATCATTTTAACTACAAAAAACTAAAAATACATAACTAGTCATTCAAATGATGCTATCTTAACTTTCTACTTTGGTTTTATTCATAAACAATTAAAAAATAAGTTTTCTTTCTCCAATTCACAAATCACTTCTCAGTTTAGTATAGAGAAAAGCGTCATGCCTTCAAAAGTCTCAGAGAAAAGTTACTATGAAAATTCAGATCATCATACTTAAATACTCAAAGACAAATGAATTCTAATATTTTACCTATACTCCTGTTAAAAACTCTTCTGTCCATATTTAATTCTTAAATGAGTATATTTAGTTCTGAAATTTCTCATTTAAATCATGACTGCCATTCCCTGCTACTTCTTAACCAAGACTAAGAAACTGAAGCTCTTTTATACCTTCCTTGTTAATAGTACTTTAGATAATTGAATATATAATCTCAAATACAAGTATTTAGCAGTGTTTGTAAAATTTGCTAAGGTGGCACCAAGGAATATTGACAATGCAGTTATTAAAAGCACAGATTGTGGGGCCAGACAATCTGGTTAGAATCCTGGCAACACCACTTGCTAGCCTTGGATTTAACCTCTCTGTGCCTCAGGTTTCTCATTTATCAAATGTGATTAACATTAATACAAGCCTGATAAGGTTGTTATGAGAATTAAATGAGAGAAAGGTGTGTTGTACTTAAATGTGATAAGCACAAGGTAAGGGCTATTGAAGTACTATTGTGATGACAATTATCTTGTCATATGAAGTAAAATAATTTTTTTAAAAAGTTATACCATATCTGTAACAAAATGTCCTCTCTGTAGGCATACACATCCATACACAAACACAAAAACAGTCCACCTAAGAATTAACGGGTTTCCAAATATCCCAGTTAATATTTGCTACTTACCCATCCAGGCTATTAAAATTTCAACATTAAAACTTCACATAGGTAGTTCACATTGGTACTGCATATTTCAAATTCATATGTTGTACTTCAAGTGCATTGAATTTCAAGTGCATTGTGTTTCAAATAGATTAATGAATACAGTGTGGTATCAGTGAAAGATTAGGCAAAAAGATCAGTGGATGAGAATAGGGAGCCTAGAAATAGACCCATAAATATGACAACTAATCTTTGACAAAGGAGCAAAGACTAAATAGTGCTGGAACAACTGGACATCCACTTGCAAAGAAATAAATCTAGACACAGAAAGACATGTCAATAGAATGAAAAGACAAGCCACAGACTAGGAGAAAATAATTCAGAAGACATCTGATAAAGGACTGTTATCCAAAACATAAGAATTCTTAAAACTCAAAAATAAGAAAACAACCCAACTAAAAAATGGGCCAAACACCTTCACAAACACCTCAGCAAAGAAGATATACAGATGGCAAAGAAGCATATAAAAAGATTTGTCATATCGCATGTCACCAGGAAAATGTATATTAAAATATACACCTATTAAAATGGCTAAAATCCAAATCAAATTCTGGCAAGAATGTGGAGCAATAGGAATTCTCGTTCATTGTTGGTGGGAATGCAAAATGGTATAGCCACTGTGGAAGACTGTTTGGTGCTTTCCTACAAAAACAAACATAGACTTATGACACCAACCAGCAATGGCAATCCTTGGTACTTATTCACCAAGGAGCTGAAAACATATGTCCACACAAAAACCTGCATATGAATGTTAAGAACAGCTTTATTCATAATTGCCAAAACTTAGAAGCAATCAAGATGGCTCTCAGTAGGTGAACAAACTGAAGTATATCCAGATAATGGAATATTGTTCAGCACTAAAAAAAAAAAATCAGCTTTCAAGCCATGAAAAGACACAAAGAAAACCTAGTTGCATATTGCTAAATAAGTCAAAGAAGCAGTCTGAAAAATATACATTTTAGAGATAATAAAATAGATCAGGGATTTTCAGTGGTTAGTGTGAAGGGAAGAATAAATAGGTGGAGACAGAGGATTTTTATGGCAATGAAACTACTTTATGTGATACTGAAATGGTAGGCATATGCCATCTTACATTTGTCCAAACCCAAGTGTGATCCCTAATGGAAATTATGAACTCTGAATGATGATGTATCAATATAGGTTCATCAATTGTAAACAATGTTTCATCTAGTGGGAGTTGTTTGTGGGGGATGGGACTAAGCATATGTGGGACTAAGCATAAGCATAGGTGGTATATGCTAAATCTCTATGCCTTCCACTCAATTTGCTATGAACCTGAAATTGCTCTAAAAAAATAAAGTCTACTTAAACATCTTAAATATTAAAAATTAATGAAAAATGACTTCTGGTCATGATGGTAAGTAGGTAAAAACTATACTCACCTCCTCCCAGACTACATCAAAATTTCCACTAAATAACAATAACCACCATTGAGAACCATTTAAAGTCTAGCCTGAAGTTTCTATAACAAAGGGTATACGGAAGAACGCACATTAAGACTGGTAGGAGGGGCAAAGACTAGGAATAGGCAGGGCGTGGCAATTAAAAGTCATGAAGGATATCTGTGCTACA